GGAATTTTTGTCAACGTTGTGAACTGATGAACCCTCAGCACCTAGCACAGCATCTAGCACACAGTGGGCTCTTAAGAAGCCTTTGCAAATAACTGAATGAAGCATTAATGTGAGCACTCAGTAAATACTTTTTTGAATGAATGAAGAGCTGGAATTCATCATGAGATACTCCTGAACAGCCTCAGTAGGAGAGAAGTGGGAAAAGGCTAGAAGGATGGCAGATTATAGGAAAAGAGCACATTTTCAGTTTGATATCTAAGAAGTTGAAGAATTAGTGAAGCAGGAGCACAGACTTGGGTGTGAGTTCCCTTTACCTCATACTTAGCTGTGTGACTTTGGACAGGTTGTCCAATCTCCTTGAACCTCAATTTCTTCATCTGTAAACTGGGATTAGTATTACTTAGCATGTAGGGTCGTACCAGTGGTGAAAAGTCGATGCATATAATGGGCTCAGCATAGCGCCTGGTCCATAGTGAGTGTTTATTAAGAGGTGGCTGTTGTCATCATCATCATCATTATTATTCAATATCAAAGTGGGGAAATTTGTAAGAAATTTACAAGTGTACTAAAAGTAACATTTTTGGATTTAAGTCTAGCCTGTGAAGTTGGGATGTTAAAATCTGAAACGATGTTAATACAGAAGTTTGGGAATGTACAGAGTCAGGGCGTAGTCACTTTTGTGCTGGGTCCTTTTGTTTTAAAACAGAATGAAAATATCTTCAGCATGTACAGCCCAGAAAAATAGAGTAATTGACATCAAATCCTTCAGTTTGCTCCAAGCTGCCACTTAAAGTGCAGGGTTAGTTGGTTCGAGGTCAGAGGTGCCATTCATTTGCTTTCAACTGATAGATGAGAGAAAAAGTGTACCCTTTGCTGCTGATGTTCTGCTCACCAGGATTCTTTTGTTATCTCCTGAGATTGTTTCTTTGGACAAGAGAGATGTTAGATTCCAGCAAAGCACCATAAAGACACTGACTCAACTCGACCGTAAGTGTTACCATGTATAGCTGAACCGTTTCATAAAAGATCCAAAGGACTATACACTCACACAGAACCCTCGATTATGTCCTCTTGTTTACATATCAATACAACTTCTGGTGTTCTAACAGAACTTTTAGAATTGGTTCTCCTCTGATAAATGGTAATTTTCCTGATATGTGGGTTGTGTGTTTATCTGAAAAATGCCAATTCTGAAAAAATGTGAACCTGGTCGTTCTATGACATCATGCCCAATTTTAACTTCTTGCAAGGAGACATTTGTAGTTAGGAAGAAAAGCAGATTTCATGTACAAGAAATATGAAGGCTGGGTGTTTGAGGTTTTTCTTCTGGTCTTTCTGTTTCCTGTAGTATCTGAATATAGCTAGTTATAATAGTTCATGTTTACTTAAGAAGTGGGCAGATTGTGAAAAAAATAGCTGCAGCATTCTGAGCTGTGATCTTGTTTCTTGGTTTCTGTTTTGCTCTGTCGTTATGAGAAATCAATGGGAGGGACAGCCATAGTTGAAGAATGATAGATGCTTCCAGCGGTTCTTTTTATGACTCAAGGCCATTTCCTCACAGAGAGAGGGCTGTGGAGTACGTGGTAACATTCTTTTGAGTGTCATTCGATTCAGGATGGATGGACTTTGGTGGAGAATAGCAGTCACCTCAACCTTACTTTAAGATTACAAGATATTTTCTTACCTAAATGTTAGAGATGGAATCATGAAAGTACCACTGTTCTGTGCTCTGTTCCTAAGTGGAAAAAATACTGATTTAAATTGAATTGTCCTTGTTCTTCTGTGTCTTTAGGTTTAGACATGCTTATAATAAATAATTAAAACAATACTTTCAAATTTATTGTTATTAATTATTTATTTATATTTTTTTGAGTCAGGGTCTCACTTTGTCACCCAGGCTGGAGTGCAGTGGTGAAATCATGCCTCACTTCAGCTTGACCTCTGGGCTCAAGTGATCCTCCTGCTTCAGCCTCCCAAGTAGCTGGGACCCACAGGTGTGTGCCACCATGCCTAGCTAATTTTTTATTTTTATCTTTTGTTGAGGTGGAGTCTTGCTATGTTGCCCAGGCTAGTCTTGAACTCCTGGCATCAAGTAATCTTCCCACCTTGGCTGGAATTGCAGGCAGGGGCCTTGTGCTCAACCCAACTTTATGATTTTCAAATTAAAGATGCACCTAATTGATGTCCTGCCCAAAGCATTAAAATATCTTGATAAACCCTTTCCTATCAGGAACAGCCCAGATAAAATTGGGTAGGACTCTACCCCTCACTCCTTCTGTTTTGAGGGAAGCATGTCCAAGTTTGGTTGTTTCTGGTAATTAATGCATCTGGCAGAGATGGAAGCCTCATCCTCTGTTATTAACATGGCTTCACAGCCTCAGATCAGTCCCTGTACAACCCAGGGAACTACACATCAAATTGTCATGTTTTTCAAGGGAGAGGCCATGAGTATTTATTCTCATCAGGTTCTTAAGAGGAGACGGGGATGATTCAGGTTCTATTTAAACATTGCTCTTTTTGTTCCTGAGGTATGTCAGCTGAGGTAACTTTCTAAGAATAATTGAGCTGTTTCCAAGATTCCAGCCACTTCCCAGGGACACTGACTCAGTTCTTGTTCTTACCCACTTCACTGTCTCAGCTTCCAGAGGACAGAGCCTCACCAGATCCTTAACAAATATCTTTTTCTCCAACTCTAGCCTCCTCCCCTCTTTTTCCCAACTCATCCGGAGCCCTGATTTTTTTCTTTTCTTTCTTTCTTTCTTTCTTTCTTTCTTTCTTTCTTTCTTTCTTTCTTTCTTTCTTTCTTTCTTTTTTTTTTTTTTTGAGGCGTGGTCTCGTTCTTGCCGAGGCTGGAGTGCAGTGGCGTGATCTCGACTCATGGTAAACTCTGCCTCCTGAATACAGGTGATTCTCTTCCCTCAGCCTCCCAGGTAGCTGCGACTACGGGCATGCACCACCACTGCTGCCTAATTTTTGTATTTTTAGTGGAGATGCGGTTTTGCCATGTTGCCTGGGTCTGAACCTTCTGAGCAGCGGATCCACCTGCTCTGACCTCCCAGAGTGCTGGGATTACAGGTTTGAGACATGGCACCCGGCCTGGAGCCCTGACTTTTTATGGAGCATCCAATTTTTTATTTCTTGAGCTTCTTTTCCTTATATCTTCAAGGAAAGTATAACTTTACTCTTCATCATACAGAGCAGTTTAGCCTCCCACAGCATCTCGGCTTTGGACTTGGCTTTACATATCCAAAATCCTGCCAATGTGTCCTGTAAACAAAGGCTGTCTTAGGAGGTCAGTCATCCTTTAGCGTTGACAAAATTTTAGAAATTTTGAATATTTTCCCCTCTCTAGCATCTATTTTAAGTGGTTGTGAATCTTACTTTCTGATATGAATTATGTCACGCTTCCTTAATAAGAGAAGCAATTAAAGGCATTTTGTATTTCAAATATTTTTTCATCCCACTATATGTATTCTCACCTTTGTTATTTAACTCAACAAATAAATACAGCACATCTGTTAGGTCTCAGACACAGAAAAGAGGTACAGAATACAATAGCGAACAAGACACAAGAAAAGTTCCATCCCTTGTTTACATGCTAGTGAGGGACACACAGTGAGCAAATGGTCAGAGTAGATAATGGCCGGCAATGGTGTGTACTGTGGAGAAAGTCACACAGGATAGAGAGCCAGAGCATAATGGTGCTGTCATTTTAGATAGGATGCTAGCAGAAGGTCTTCTAGAGGAAGTGACAACTGAACATTTTCCCAGGATGAAAGTAAAAAACAAGCCAGGTAAAGATCTTAGGGAAGAACATTCCAAATAAAGACATGGAAAAGGCGAGGGCCTTTGCCAGGAGTGGGCTGAGAAATAGCAGAGAGGGTAGAGCCAGAGGACTGTGAAAGACGGCAGGTGAAGACAGGACACAGGAAAGCAGGGTCTGCATCATTCAGAATCTTGTAGGGTAAGGAAGGACTTTGGACTTTATTTTAAAAGAAAGTAAGGGCCGGGTGCGGTGGCTCACGCCTGTAATACCAGCACTTTGGGAGGCCGAGGCGGGTGGATCACGAGGTCAAGAGATCGAGACCAACCTGGTCAACATGGTGAAACCCCGTCTCTACTAAAAATACAAAAATTAGCTGGGCGTGGTGGCGCATGCCTGTAATCCCAGCTACTCGGGAGGCTGAGGCAGGAGAATTGCCTGAACCCAGGAGGCGGAGGTTGCGGTGAGCCGAGATTGCGCCATTGCACTCCAGCCTGGGTAACAAGAGCGAAACTCCATCTCAAAAAAAAAAGAAAGTATGATGGCAATTCACTGAAAGTGTTACACAGGGATGTAACAAGATCTTATATTTAATTTTAAAAATTGAGACATATTTATATACCATAAAATTTACCCTTAGAAAGTGAACCATTTGGTGATTTTAATATAGTCACAAGATTGCCAGCCTTTGCCTTGTATAATTCCAGAGCACTTCATCACCCCTAAAAGAAGCCCCTTAGCAGACCCATTAATAGTGGTTACCTTATTTCCCTGTTCCAGGCAGAAACCACGAATCTGCGTCCTGTCTCCATGGATTTACCTATTCGGGAGATTTCACATAAATGGAATCATATAATATGTGACCTTGTGTGTCTGGCTTCTGGCACTTAGCATATGTTTTCGACGTTCATTTATGTTTTAGCATTTATCTGCATCTTATTGTTTTTGTAACTGAATAATATTCCATTGTATGGTTCCGCCACATTTCGTTTGTTCATTTATTAGTTAATGGATATTTGGATCATTTTCACTTCTGGGCAATTATGAATAATGCTGTTATAAGCATTTGTGTACAAGTGTTTACTAGCATATGTTTTCATTTCTCTTGGGTATGTATCTAGGAGTAGAATTGCGGGTTAATGTGGTAGACTGTTTCCCACAGCATCTGTATCAGCAGTGTATGAGGGGTCCAATTTCTCCACAGCGTTCCCAACACTTACTATTTTTTTTCTTTTCCCTTTTTCTGTTTTTCTTATGGTACTCGCAAGCCCAAGATCAAACACTTACTATTTTTTATTTTTTACTTATAGACCTCTCGTGTGCACGAAGTGTTATTCCGTCATTGCTTTTTGCATTTCCTTAAGAACTAATGAAATTGGACGTCTTTTCATGTGCTTATCGGTCACTTGCATGTCTATGGAGAAATGTCCATTCAAATCTGCTGTGGTTTGAATATATCCTCCGCAGTTCGTGTGTTGGAAACTTGCTCCCCAGGGCAGTGGCGTTGGGAGGTAGGACCGTTCAGAGGTCACGAGGGCTGTGCTCTCATGGTTGGATTAGTGCTGTTATCAAGGTCGTAGGTTTGTTATTGTGGGAGGAAATTTCTTATAAAAGCACAAGTCAGCTCCTTGTTGCTCTCTCACTCTCTTTGCCCTTCTGCCATGGGTTGATGTGGCAAGAAAGTCCTTGCTAGATGCCAGCCCCTTGATCTTGGACTTCCCAGCTTCTCAAAGTGTGAGGCAATACATTTCTTTCTTTTTTGTAGATGGGGTTTGGCTTTTGTTGTTCAGGCTGGAGTGCAATGGCATGATCTCAGCTCACCGCAACCTCCGCCTCCTGGGTTCAAGTGATTCTCCTGCCTCAGCCTCCCGAGTAGCTGGGATTACAGGTATGCACCATTATGCCTGGCTGATTTTGTATTTTCAGTAGAGACATGGTTTCTCCATGTTGGTCAGGTTGGTCTTGAACTCCTGACCTCATGCGATCTGCCCACCTGGGCCTCCCAAAGTGTTGGGATTACAGGCTTGAGCCAATAAATTTCTTTCATTATAAATTACCCAGTCTTAGGTATTTAGTTAAAGCAGCACAAAATGGACTAAGAAAATATTTTCTCTTTTCAAGTTGGATTATGCCTTTTTACTATTGAGTACAAGAGTTGTTAAAAATATATTATTGATACTTGATTTTCATCAGATATGTGATTTGCAAATACTTTTTCCTTTCCAGTTCCTTGATTGTATCCATGGAAACACAAAGGCTTTACATTTTGCTGAAGCCCAGTATATTTGTTTTTTCTTTGATTGCTTATGCTTTTGGTGTCCTAGCCAAGAAGCTATTACCTAATCCGAGTACATGAAGATTTACAGCCATGTTTCCTTCAAAGAGTTTTATAGTTTTAGCTTTTATATTGAAATTTTTGATCCATTTTGAGTTATTTTTTCTAAATGGTGTGAGGAAGGATCCAAATGTGTTATCCTGCATGTGGGTATCTGGTTGAAAAGACTGTTCTTTGTACCATTGGTTATCTTACCATCCGTGTCAAAAACCAATTGACCACTGATGTGTGTGTTTACTTCTGGGCTCTCCATTTCATTACATTGATTTATATGTTTATCCTTCTCCCAGTAACAATACAAGCCTGATAACTATAGCTTTGTAGTATGTTTTGAAATTGGAAAGTATGAATCTTCCAGTTTTGTTCTACCTTTTCCAAATTGTTTTGGCTATTCAGAGTCTCTCAAAATTTGGTATGAATTTTAGAATCATATCATCAATTTCTACAAAAAGGCCAACTGGGATAACTTATGTTTTAAAAGTAAAGCTATGGATGCTGCATGGAGAATATACTATAGAGAAAACAGTTATGAGGTCACTTTAGCTGTCCAGGTAAAAGATGAAAGGTGGCTTGGAATAGGGTATTAGCCATAGAATTGGTCAGGAGTGGTGGGATTTTTGAAGTTGCAGCTCCCTGAGTTTACAGGTGGATTGCATATGGGGTGCAAGCAAAAGAGAAGAGTGAAGGACGAGTATAAATTTTGACCCAGGCAACTGAGTGCTGTTTTCATTGCTGAGATGGGGAACCCTGAAGAAAGAGAACAGGTTAGGGCGGAAAATAAAGTATTATCTTTGGGACGTGCTAAGTTTGAGATACCTATTAGAAATTCTTGTGGAAATGACAAGTAGAATATTACACATACATGTATATGTGTGTATTTGTAATTATATCTATATCTGGGAAAGATCAGAGCTGAAGATATGAGTTAATGTACAGATGGTGTTCAACATCTTGAGACTGAATGAGGTAAAGAAAAGAATGGGAAAAGAGAAAAGAGATATGAAGACTGGTTGTGGGGTACTCCAACTTTTAGAGGTTTCAAAGAGTAAGTGGGTACAACAAAGATGCAGACAATAAGAAGCCAGGAAAGTTTGTGTAGTATCTTGGATGGGAAGGGAAGAAAATGTTTCAAGATGGAAGCAATGATTAACTGTGTCATAAACTGAGAGAGTGAGTAAAATGAGGACTGAGAATTATGTATTGGAGGTCACTGAAGAACACGTCTTCAGCAGTGTGGAGACAAAAGAGTAGAGTGAATTTGAGAAGGAACAGGAAGGAATGAAGTGAAAACAAGACTCTTTCAAAGGCTTTTTCCCCCCCTTAATTTGTTTTCCTGATAGAAAATTTTATGCAGAAATGTAGCGAGTTTAGAGACTTCCATTTCCAGCCAAGATGGAGTAACAGGGACCTTTTTTACTCTCCTGCATGAAATAATTGAAAAGTGGACAAAATATATGAAAGAGTGGTTTGAAAGACCCTAGGAATCAGGCAACAAAAGACAATGATACCTCAGAGCCAAAAACGAATGAGCCATATGACTACCAAAGCTTACTGCCTCTCCTTTTAGCCCTCAGCTGGGGAGAGGGGCAGAGCCCAGGAGGACTCCATGAGTTGAGATAATGGAGCCGAGAGTCTAGGGAGACCAAGGTAGCTAGAGTTTACAAAACAGAGAGAGCTACACACAGACAGGACAGAATTTTAGAGATCTGCAGAGGGTACCCTTGATTATTTAGCTGAGAACTCATTAGCACATGGTCCCACTGAAAGGGTTGGAGAGAACATTGCCTGGTACTCACATAGCACTGGAAATAGTGCCTTTTCCCTGCAACAAAGTGGAAAGCATTACAATGTGCATGGCGTTTGGTAGAGTACATAAAGGGGTTTGCCCCAGTAGCGAGACTATAGACAAACATTGCTGTGGTCCAGCCTAACATATTTTAAAAGCATAATTCAAAATGATCAAATCATTGCTAAGTAACTTCACCATATTCTAGGATAAAACTCAAGAATTCAGGATTATAAATACATCCAGCACCTTTCAAGGTAAAATTCATGATGTCTGACATCGAATCAAAGATTATCAGATAAAAAAAGAAGCAAGAAAATGCTGCCCACAATTAGGTAGTAAATCAGTCAATCAAAACTAGCCCAGAACTGACACAGGTGATAGAATTATAAACAAAGATTTGCTATTATTATTAGTTAACCTTATTATGATTATTAGCTATTATGACTCTACAATATGTTCAAAAAGTTAAATAGAGGTATGGATCATATAAAAATATAAAATGATACTTACAGAAATGAAAACTAAAATATCAGAAATGAAAATACACCAGATGGGATTAATAGCAGATCAGACATTGTAAAAGAAAAGACTAGTGAACCGGGCTCAGTGGCTCACACCTGTAATCCCAGCACTTTGGGAGGCCATCGTGGGTGGATCATGAGATCAGGAGTTCGAGACTAGCCTGGCCAAAGAGAACAGCTTGGCTAAAATGATGAAACTCCATCTCTGCTAAAAATACAAATGTTAGCCAGGCATGGTGGCACACACCTGTAATCCCAGCTACTCAGGATGCTGAGGCAGGAGAATTGCTACCTAGAGGTAGAGGTTGTTGTGAGCCAAGATCATGCCACTGCACTCCAGCCTGAGTGACAGAGTGAGACTCTGACTCAAAAAAAAAAAAAAAAAAGAAAGAAAGAAAAGAAACGACTAGTGAATGTGGAGATATAACAATAGAAACTGCCTAAAATGAGACACACAGAGATAAGAGAATAATATTAATAATTGAAAACTGAGCAGAGTATCAGGGACCTGTGGAATGTTACATATGTAATTGGGAGAGTAGCCTGGGCGACAAAGAGAGACCCTGTCTCCAGAAAAAAAAAAAAAAAAAAAAGGGGAGTGCTCCACTATCTCACCTCTCTTCACAACAGCCCTATGGGGTAGTGTATGACTGTCTCAGCCCCTGTTAACAGCTGTGGAAAGCTAGACTTACAGAATTAGGCTACTGCCTATTGTCACATCTCAGAAGCATCAGAGCCAGAATTGAAATCCAAGTCCATGTGTCTACAAAGTCCTTGCCCTTAACAATAATTTTCTGTCAAAGCACCTCCCTTGATGAGTGAAATTTTTCCTGGCAAGAGTAGAAATATGCATGTTTTCCCTTCAATTCTCATTTATTATAGAGACCACATTTTGACAAGAATAAAGGAACTCAGAAGAATGAAAGTAATTCACAGTTCCAGATCCTGTTCAGCCAGTTTGCATTTTTCTCCATTTCCTTTTGACCCTTCTCCAACCACACATAGTTTACATAGTTGTAGATGCAATTTTGTTTTCTGCTCTTATGCTTAATGTTATACCAAACATTTTTCTTGTTGCAATTTAGGCTGATAGATGCACAATATTCCGTTTTGTTAAGGCGCCACAGTTTAAACAGTCACCCATGACGGACAATATTTGTTTCCAGTTTCTTCCTGTTTTAAATGCTGCTACAGCAAACCATTTTGTTTTCCGCCCGTCTTTTGTTACTCTTTTCTTAGAATAAATTCCCAGGAGTGAGATTACCAAACAAGAATGTGAGCATGTTTATGGATTTAATCTTTAAAAGGAAGTGAAATTAAGAGAGTTTGTATCTTCCATCACGGTGGATACATTTCACAGCTGGCAAGAACAGATTAACTCCGTGAATTATTGTTCAGGTGGAGCAAAGTTAAAGACAGGTGGGAACTGACTGCTGGTGGGGACAGGGGTTCTTTTTGAGGTGGTGCAATGTTCTGGAATAAGCTAGAGGCCACAATTACACGACTTTGCCAATGTGCTAAGAACATTGAATTGTGTGTACTTTAAAGGGATGGATTTTGTGGTATGTGAATTATATACCAATAAAGCTATTATTAAAAACTAAAGGAAAAATTTCTGACACTCTTAGTAGTAGTTTTAACCATTGCTATAGGAGAGTTCTAGATTTGTTTTTGTATTTGGAGGCAGCGTATAATAGTGTGGAAGAACGTAAGACTATCAGGGTTTGAACTGCAGGGTCATGACTTAGCTGCTGTGGGACCCTTGGCAAGTGCTGTAGGTTGGGTCCTCCAGAATCCGGTGCTGAGATAGAGTTTGGGGTGCAGGGTGTTTGCAAGGGTCAACACAGGGCAGGCCCATGGTGGAGCAGGACTGGGCAGAGAAAGGGGTGGGAAGGAGATACCGGCCAGACACAGCTGGGCCAGCCCTGCGGGAGCCCTGACAGTTAGCGCGCCTACACTGGGCTGAAATGGCCAGACCTTTACACACGGGCCTGGCTCCTAGGCCTGCTGTGAGCGGCCTGCGAAGGCCCTCATTAATGAGGGGCTCTGTATCTAAGGCTGACCTGAACAGCTGGCAGAAGAAGGCTCACGGCATTGGTCCCCTCCCCACAGCCAGGCAACGAGGCCAGGTCTGACCGGGGTGTGGGGTGTGGGTGGCACCCCTCTGTGTCTACCACAGCAAGTTGCTTTCACCTCAGTTTCCTCACCTGTAAAATTGAAATGATAACAGTGACTACCACTTAGGATTGCTAGAAAATGAAATGCAGTGACTTCTAAGTACACATGAAATACTTAGAACAGTGCTGGGCATGTCATAAATGTTCAAAACCTACTAGCTACTGTTATTTATTATTACTCCATTGAATAACATAGTCAGCTTTGGCCAGACTATGCTAAAGAGTTGCTGTGCAGCATATACACTGAGAAGTCTGTGAAGACTTAAAAAAAGACCTTATTTTATGAATCAGTTTGAAGTCCACAGCAAAATGGAGCCCTCGCTCCCACATGTGCACAACCTCTTTCAATATTCTGAAGACTTTTTTTTTTGAGATGGAGTTTTGCTCTTGTTGCCCAGGCTGGAGTGCAGTGGCATTGCAGCTCACTACAACCTCCGCCTCTCAGGTTCAAGTGCTTCTCCTGCCTCAGCCTCCTGAGTAGCTGGGATTACAGGCATGTACCACCATGCCTGGCTAATTTTGTATTTTTAGTAGAGATGGGGTTTCACCATGTTGGACAGGCTGGTTTCGAACTCCTGACCTCAAGTGATCCACCTGCCTGGGCCTCCCAAAGTGCTGTGATTACAGGTGTGAGCCACCACACCCGGCCATTCTGAAGACTTTTAAGAAAAGGCATAACAGCTTTCTGAGAGGGCTTATGTGTGTGTTGAGGCCAGAATCAGCCGGAACTACAAGGAGTGAGGTGAATGATGTGAAAGCTTCCCTGCCTCCAGTTCCCCATGATCTGCCTGTGCTTGACTGATACTTCTGTCCATTCAGTTACTCTTGGTCGTTAACAGCTCTACATGGTGAGGATGGGTTTATTGGACTCTTTTACTATCACAGTTAACTGAGAGCAGAACCTCTCAGGAAGTCAGGTTTTGATAAATAGGTTAGGGTTCTAGAATGGGAGGAGCTACCTAGTGCAGGGATTAGGGGCAGTGGGCCTGGATGTCACAAAGAACAGAGCATGTGCATTTATGGTGAGGGCAGCATGGGCCTGTGCGTGGCCTGTCTGCAGAGCTGTGTGGGAGGATCCAGAGAGGAAAGGGATGCTCAGAAAAGGAGTTGGCAGGTAGGAGGGGCCTTTATCTAGTCACAGCTTTGCCTACGGCTGACTGAGTACAGTTCTAGAGAAGGAAAGATAGCTTAGATTTTTACTTTAAAGTTTTTGGGTCAATTTCAGTGTCATCCACATTGGATAGCAGAAAATGTTTCTGTTGAAGCAGCTGTTTTTTAAAAAAATTATAAGGCCCAGTGTGGTGGCTCACACCTGCAATCCCAGGACTTTGGGAGGCTGAGGTCAAGAGATTGAGACCATCCTAAACAACAGGCTAAAACCCCGTCTCTACTAAAAATACAAAAATTAGCTGGATATGGTGGTGTGTGCCTGTAGTCCCAGCTACTAAGGAGGCCAAGGCAGGAGAATCGCATGAACCTGGAAGGCAGAAGTTGCAGTGAGCTGAAATCATGCCATTGCAGTCCAGCTTGGGTGACAGAGCAAGACTCTGTCTGAAAAAAAAAAAAATTACACTGCAGATGGACTCTTTGTGGGGGTGTAGCTTCTCTGAATTTTAATACATGTATACATTCATCCCTATGAACCATCTCCACAAACAGGGTACGGAACAATTCCACTACCAGATAAAATTCCCTGTTGTCTATCCTTGTGGCACACTAACCTCTCACAACCACGGATCTCTTCTTCATCACTACAGCTCAAGACAGCTCTGCTTTTAATAATCTTGCCTTTTATATTGATGGAGTTTGCAAAAAATGTGGGGTTTGTCCCCAAAACAACAGAATATACAGTCTTCTCATTGTCACATGGCACTTACTCTAAAATTGATCATATAATTGGAAGTCAAACACTCCTCACCAAATGCAAAAGAACTGAAATCTTAACAGTTTCTCAGACCACAGTGCAACCAGATTAGAACTCAAAATTAAGAAATTCACTCCAAACCACACAACTACATGGAAATTGAACAACCTGCTCCTGAATGACTCTTGGGTAAATAATGAAATTAAGGCAGAAATCAAGAAGTTATTTGAAACGAGTGAGAACAAAGATGCAATATACCAGAATCTCTCGGTTGCAGCTAAAGCAGTGTTAAAATGGAAATTTATAATACTAAATGCCCACATCAAAAAGCTATAAAAATTTCCAGTTAACAACTAAACATAGCATTACAACTAAAAGGACTAGAGAACCAAGAGCAAACAAACCCCAAAGCTAGGAGAAGACAGGAAATAACCAAGATCAGAGCAGAACTGAAGGAGATAGAGATGCAAAAATCCCTTCGAAAAATTCACAAATCCAGGAGCTGGTTTTTTGAAAAAATTGATAAAATACATAGACCTAATAGAGAAGAAAAGAGGGAAGATTCAAGTACACATAATTAGAAATGATAAGGGGGATATCACTACTGATTCCCCAGAAATACAATTACCAGAGAATACTATAAACACCTTCATGCACATAAACTAGACAATCTAGAAGAAATGGATAAATTCCTGGACCATATACACCCACTCAAGACTCAACCAGGAAGAAATTGAATCCTGGAATAGACCAGTAACAAGTTCTGAAATTTAGGCAGCAATAAATAGCCTGCCAATCAAAAAAAGCCAGGACCAGACAGATTTACAGCTGAGAATTCTCCCAGAGGTACAAAGAAGAGCTGGTACCATTTCTACTGAAACTATTTCAAAAAAATTGAAAAGGAAGGATTCCTCCTCAACTCATTCTATGAGACCAGCATCATCCTGATACCAAAACCTAGCAGAGACACAACAAAAAAAGAATAATTCAGGCCAGTATCCTTGATGAACATTGATGCAAAAATCCTCAATAAAATACTGACAAACCAAATCCAGCAGCGTGTAAAAAGGCTTATCCACCACAATCAAGTAGACTTCATCCCTGGGATGCAACATATACAAATTAATAACTGATTCATCACATAAACAGAAGCAAAGATAAAAACCGCATGATTGGCCGGGCACGGTGGCTCAAGCCTGTAATCCCAGCACTTTGGGAAGCCAAGGCAGGTGGATCACGAGGTCAGGAGATCGAGACCATCCTGGTCAACATGGTGAAACCCCGTCTCTACTAAAAATGCAAAATACAAAAAATTAGCTGGGCATGGTGGCGCGTGCCTGTAATCCCAGCTACTCGGGAGGCTGAGGCCGGCGAACTGCCTGAACCCAGGAGGCGGAGGTTGTGGTGAGCCGAGATCGCGCCATTGCACTCCAGCCTGGGTAACAAGAGCGAAACTCCATCTCAAAAAAAAAAACAAAACCCACATGATTATCTCAATAGATGCAGAAAAGGCATTTGATAAAAATCTAACATCCCTTCATGTTAAAAACTCTTAATAAACTAGGTATTGAAGGAATATACCTCAAAATAATAAGAGCTGTATATGACAAAACCACAACCAGTATCATACTGAATGGGCAAAAACTGGAAGCATTCCCCTTGAAAGCTGGCACAAGACAAGGATGCAGTTTCTCACCACTCCTGTTCAACATAGTATAAGCTGATAAGCATCTTCAGTAAACTCTCAGACTATAAAATCTGTGTGCAAAAATCACAAGCATTCCTATACACCAACAACAGGCAAGCAGAGAGCCGAATCACAAATGAACTCCCATTCACAATTGGCACAAAAAGAATAAAATACCTAGGAATACAGCTAACAAGGGAAGTGAAGGACCTCTTCGAGGAGAACTATACACCACTGCTTAAAGAAATCAGAGAGGACAAACAAATGGAAAAAGTTCCATGCTCATGAATAGGAAGAATCAATATGGTAAAAATGGCCATACTACCAAAAGCAATTTATAGATTTGGTGCTTTTCCCATTAAACCATCACTGACATTCTTCACAGAATTAGAAAAAAATATTTAAAAATTCTTATGGAACCAAAAAAAGAGCCTGAATAGCCCAGACAATCCTAAGCAAAAAGAACAAAGCTGGAGGCATCATGCTACCTGACTCCAAACTATACTATAAGGCTACAGTAACCAAACAGCATGGTACTGATATGAGAACAGATACATAGACCACTGGTACAGAATTGAGAACCCAGAAATAAAACTGCAAACCTACAACCATCTGATCTTTAACAAACCTGACGAAAACAAGCAATGGGAAAAGGATTCCCAATTTAATAAATGATGCTAGAAGATTTGGCTAGCCATATGCAGAAAATTGAAACTGGAACCCTTCCTTACACTATATACAAAAATCAAGATGGATTAAAGGCTTACATGTAAAATCCCAAAACTACAAAAACCCTGGAAAAAAATCTAGGTAATACCATTCAGCACATAGGCACAAGCAAAGATTTTGTGATGAAGATGCCAAAGGCAATTGTAACAAAAGCAAAACCTGATAAATGGGATCTAATTAAACCACAGAGCTTCTGTCCAGCAAAAGAAACTATCATCAGAGTCAACACATAACGTATGGAATGGGAGAAAGTTTTTGCAATCTATTCATGTGACAAAGCTCTTAACATCCAGCATCTACAACGTACTTAAACAAATTTACAAGAAAAGAAACAACCCAATTAAAAAGTGAGCAAAGGACATGAACAGACATTTCTCAAAAGAAGACATACATGCAGCCAATAAATATATGAAAAAAGTTCAACATCACTGATCATTAGAGAAATGCAAACCAAAATCAAAAAATCAAATCAAAATTCTCGCTGTTGTGAGATGCTCTCTCACGCTAGTCAGAATGGCTATTATTAAGTAAAAAAAGAAGATGCTGGCAAGGTTGTGGAGAAAAAGGAACTGCTTTTACACTGTTGGTGGGAGTGTAAAATATTTCAACCATTGTGGAAGACAGGGTGGTGATTCCTCAAAGACCTAGAAGCAGAAGTGCAATTTGACCCAGCAATCCCATGACTGAGTATATACTCAGAGAAATAGAAAGCATTCTATTATAAAGACAGATTAACGTGTATGTTCACTGCAGCACTATTCACAATAGCAAAGACATGGAATCCACCTAAAGGCCCATCAATGATAGACTGGATAAAGAAAATGTGGCGCATATACACCATGGAATACTATTCAGCCACAAAGAAGAATGAGATCATGTCTTTTGCAGGGACATGGATGGAACTGGAAAGCCATTATCCTCAGCAAACTAACGCAGGAACAGAAAACCAAACACCATATGTTCTCACTTATAAGTGGGAGCTGAGTGATGAGAACACATGGACACATGGGGGCGGGGGAACAACACACATGTGCTAATCAGGAAGAATAACTAATGGATGCTGGGCATAATACCAAGGTGATGGGAGATGGTCTGTGCAGGAAACCTCCATGGCATATGTTTACCTATGTAACAAACCGGCACTCCTGCACATGTACCCTTGAACTTAAAAGTTGGAAGAAACAAAAATATGAGCTTTGGAGTTGGAAAGAAACACTCCCTCCTCCCCTGCTGTGTATGTGTATGTGATTTTGGGAGATTGACTTAATGAGATGTGGAAAGAAAAGGTAACATATGCATAGGGTCTCCTCTCCTGAGGTAAGTCTGTCTTTGCTATCTTGCTAACTGGGACTTGCTCAGCAGATTATGTTAAAGCTAAGCGGGTGGAAGGAGGCTAGACTAGTGTGCTTTACAGCGGGAGCATAATGTTACTTAGAGAAAGAAAATAAGGAATTTTGAAGGTGAAATGAGAGAGGTGAAAAGAAAAACAGTCATCACAGGGTGAGTAAGTTTCCTAAGGTCATAGGGATATGCACTGGCAGAGCAGGAGTCTAATCTACAGGGTCCTGCTCCTGCCCTCGTGTTCCTGACTACTTCATTTTATGATGCAACAGTAACATGTAGAAACAACGCATGCAGGCCGGGCGCGGTGGCTCACGCCTGTAATCCCAGCACTTTGGGAGGCCGAGGCGGGTGGATCACGAGGTCAACAGATCGAGACCATCCTGGTCAACAAGGTGAAACCCCACCTCTAGTAAAAATACAAAAAAATTAGCTGGGCATGGTGGTGCGTGCCTGTAATCCCAGCTACTCGGGAGGCTGAGGCAGGAGAATT